ATTTATGATCTTCTTTTTCAAAAGTGTTTTTATTTCCGCTGCAATCCTTCATTATAATTCTTATTTCTGAACTCTTCTAGGACTAAGGGTGCCTAGGGAGGTGTGTTACACCTGAACAACAGCTTCTTGATTTTGTTTTGTTTTTTTTTTTTTTTAGGTTATATTTTTTTTTTTTTTTTTTTGTGGGTATTGTTGTTTGATGATGAAGATGAGGTGATGGAAAACTTGATCTGGAAGAGAAAGGTGTGAAAAAAAATCAAATGAATGATTTGATGAGGAAAATCGAATGTGGTTCCATGTTGGGTTTAATCGAACCCACATCTACTAGGTTCCTTTCATACTTAAACTTGGTTCAAATGCAACAAGTTCTGGATTTAATCAAACCTAGTCTTGCTAGGTTTGAAGTATGTTGTGTTCCAACCTAGCTACTAAGTTTGATTTCTAGATTTGATTGCTTACTCAACTTTGGTGGTCTTGGTGCAACTCTCACAAGTTACTCAACCCTTAAACCCTTGCTACGACAAGAGGAAGAAGATGATGGCAAAATTGTTATTTTATGTGATGGCAAAGTTATAATTTAGTTTAATTATAAGGGCAAAATTTTTATTTCATTTGACATGTCATCATTTTTTTTGCCACATTGTGTTAAAGTGTTTTGATGTGTCATCGTTCTTCTGTCAAGTAACATGCCAAATCAGGGATTTTTTTAATGGAGAGACCAAGTTGGGGTTAAAATGATAAATAGTATGGATCAAATCAGGGATTTTTTGAGTTAATGAACTAAATCAAGAGTTCATACAATAGTTGAGGGACCAAAATGGGGGTTTAACCAAAAAGTTAATTCTTGATGGTAAGACTAGATGGAATTCAATTTATTTAATGCTTCATGTGGTTTTGTATTATAAAGATGTTTTCCCGTTTGAAACAAAGAGACCCATAATATAAATGTTCACCATTAGAGGAGGATTGAGAAATGGTCAAGGAGATTTCTAGTAGGTTGATATTGTTTTATAAAATCATTGAATTGTTTTCATGGAGTAAATATTCTACTACTCATTTTATTTTCAAAAATCTGTGAAATTAAAATTGCATTGAATGCATGGTTGACTTGTGGAATGTTGTTATAGAAACATTGGCAAAAAAATGCTTGATGAATTTGACAAGTATTGGAGTGAGGTTCATGGCATTATGGCTCTAGAAACTATTTTGGATCCTAAATACAAAATGGAGTTAGTAGAGTTTTATTTTATTGAAATTTATGGAGATAAAATTAAAGGGGAAATGCAAAAAGTTTTGAGGGTTTGTTATGATTTGATTGATAGATGTCAATCTAAAACTTTCCAAAATGAGAGAAGTATGCAAATGCCTAGTCATGCTCCACTAGTGGCTGTCTCATCTTCTTTTATGATTGGCAATAAAAAAATTGTTGAAAAATTCAAGACATTCTTTGCTTCAAAAGATAGTGCTTCAGTTGTGAAATCAAAGTTAGATGCTTATTTAAAGAAAAGAGTGGTTCCATTTGAGGTAGAAGAAACTTTTGATATTTTGAATCGGTGAAAAATATATGGGGCTACGTTTCCTATATTGCAAATGCTTACTAAAAATATGTTTGCCATTTCCATATCCACTATACCTTTAGAATTAGATTTTAGAACTAATGGAAGAGTTATTAGTTCAGATCGAAGCAAACTTAAACTAAATACAATATAGGCACTGATATATCTTCAAGATTGGTTAAAGAAAGATCTAAAAGGTATTGAGTTAAGGTTATATTATTTTTATTTTCTTATTTTTTAATTTATATTCTAAAATTTTATTATATTTGAAATTCAGGTTATAACAATGATGGGAATTTCTTCAATTTATTTGAGAAGTTAGAGGATAATGATGATAAGGATAATGAGTATGGGGTAAATTTTAAACAATAATATTTTTTCTTTTATAAATTATTATATAAAAAATTATTTCTAAAATTTTGTTAACTTGGGTACTTATTTTTGTTTCAGGAACTTATTTTCTCAACTTGAAATTATTGATCAAGCTTAGAAAGTTGCTACTGCAAAGTTTGTCTTGCTGAATTGGATGGATGTGTATACATGTGCCACTTACTAAACTTCTTTATGCCCTTTTTCTTAATGAACTTATTGATGGACATGTATGGTGGTAGCAGTTTATGTATTTTTTTTCTATGAACTTTGTTGATGACAGTTGACAATTGCAATTTATGCCTTTTGTTTTTTTTGTTTTTTTTATGAACCTTTTACTCGATTTGTTGGACTTATATGGCACTTTATGTCTTTATTTTATGAACTTGTTGACTTGTCAGACCTGTTTGACGTATATATTAGCTATGTATATTTACTACTTATTTGTCTTGTTTAAAATTTTTATTTTATATGATTATTTGAGCTAGTTTTATTTGATGAATGTGGAAACCAACGAAGTCTAATCAGAGCCATGTTGAGCTTTATTTTGATTAACAAACAGTGAAACATGCTATAGTTTTATTTGGCAGGGAATTTGAATACTTGCAGAGACCTATCATTTCTTGCGAGTATGGAAATGGAGTCTATTTTAGAACCTCCACAAAAGATCCCCATGGGGATCCTCATATCCATCATTGAAAAGGATGGGAAGGAGGAATGGGTCCCCACTTTGCCATTCCTGTATAAAGCACAAAACCTAACTCCAAACCACCACTTCCAACAAAAGCAAAATTTTAAAATCATATTGAGAAACCTTCTTTTAAAAATCATACTTTTCTAAATATTTTATCCACCAATCAACTTTCCTTAGCAGCTCCTTTTTTTTTTTTTTGGATAATTCTTTACAGTTTTACCAAAATGAAAAATTTGTTAGTACTAACACAAAGTCACTCTCTCCTTATTCTCAATTTAAGTACCTTTCTTTTGTTGAGTTTTAGTTAACTTAGTCTCT